AACCCCTCCTGACAGCAGTTTCTCTCCCCCCTCCCCAGACCCCCCCAGGGCCGTACAGGTGCTGCAGAGCCCGAGGGGTCCGGTGGTGGCCGGCAAGGGCCCGGTCCGCCTTCAGGCCCAGATCGGCGCTGCCGAACCCCCCGACTTCACCGTCGCTTGGTTCAAGAACGGGCAGGAGCTGCCTGTACCTACCCCCGACCTGCTCCTGCCTGGCCCCGAGCCTGCCGACGCCGCTGCCTACGCCTGCCAGGCTCGAAACCACGTGGGGGTCACCCGCAGCCCCGCCATCACCCTCGATGTCCGCTGTGAGTCGGACCCCAAAATTCCCCGGGAGGGGGGAGGGGGGACACCCAGGCATCCGGGACCCCCACCCCCCCCAAAAAAAACAAAAAAGGGGGGTCCGGGTGCTGACGTTTGCGCCGCAGTCGGCCCCCAAGGGGTGGAGTTGGTGCCGGATCCGAGCCGAGAGGTGGAGGAGATGAGCGACGTCACCCTCCGGTGCCGCACCGCCGCCCACCCCCCACCCACCGCCTTCGAGTGGTTTCGGGATGGGCGACCCCTCGGCCAGAGCCCCGAGGGATTTTGGGTAATCTACGCAGCCAAGACTCAAGCGTCCGGGCGGTATCGGTGCCGCGTCACCAATGACATCGCCACCGCTGACTCCTCTGATGTCATCATCAGCGTCTACTGTAAGGGACCCAGGCGTTCGGGACCCCTCGAGGCACCCCTACCCTACGGGACCCACACGTTTGGGACCCCCTTGAGGCACCCTTGACCCATGAGACCCCTCGAGGCACCCCTACTCTACGGGACCCACACATTTGGGACCCCCTTGGGGCACCCTTGACCCATGAGACCCCTTGAGGCACCCCTACTCTACGGGACCCACACATTTGGGACCCCCTTGGGGCACCCTTGCCCTCTGGGACCCACACGTTTGGGACCCCCTTGGGGCACCCTTGACCCATGAGACCCCTTGAGGCACCCCTACCCTACGGGACCCACACGTTTGGGACCCCCTTGGGGCACCCTTGACCCATGAGACCCCTTGAGGCACCCCTACCCTACGGGACCCACACGTTTGGGACCCCCTTGGGGCACCCTTGACCCATGAGACCCCTTGAGGCACCCCTACTCTACGGGACCCACACATTTGGGACCCCCTTGGGGCACCCTTGACCCATGAGACCCCTTGAGGCACCCCTACCCTACGGGACCCACACGTTTGGGACCCCCTTGGGGCACCCTTGACCCATGAGACCCCTTGAGGCACCCCTACTCTACGGGACCCACACATTTGGGACCCCCTTGGGGCACCCTTGACCCATGAGACCCCTTGAGGCACCCCTACCCTACGGGACCCACACGTTTGGGACCCCCTTGGGGCACCCTTGACCCATGAGACCCCTTGAGGCACCCCTACTCTACGGGACCCACACATTTGGGACCCCCTTGGGGCACCCTTGACCCATGAGACCCCTTGAGGCACCCCTACCCTACGGGACCCACACGTTTGGGACCCCCTTGGGGCACCCTTGACCCATGAGACCCCTTGAGGCACCCCTACTCTACGGGACCCGGCAGCGGCAAGTGGCGGCCGATGAGGAACCTGTAGTAGAACCCTCAGGAACCTTCTTCCTCCGCAATAAAAAGGTAGCCCACCCCCCACCACCCCTTGGGTCCCTCTTGGGTCCCTCTTGGACCCCTGGGACCTCAAGGTGCTACGTGAGGGGTCGCCCACCTTCCCGTAGCCCCGGACGCCTGGGTCCCCCCGACCTCCTCGCGATCCTGATGACACCGACACCATCAGTTACTCATCGTTGCTGTCACCTCCCGGGTCCGGCTCTGTCCCCAGGTAACCCCCACCCCACCCCAATGCCAGAGGGGACCCAGGCATCCGGGCACCCTTGACCCACGCCACCCCCTCCTTTGTCACCGTGTCCCCCCCCACCCCAGGCTGCGAGGGGACACCGTTGTCTACACCGTCCTCAAGAAGAACGAGGGTGCTGCAAAGGTACCTGTGTCCTCCGTGTTCCACCGTGTCCCCTGTCATGTCCCCAGTGTCCCTCATGTCCTCCGTGGCGTCCCCAATCACCTCAACGTCCCCCTTGGCATCCCCAATCACCTCAACGTCCCCCTTGATGTCCCCGTATCACCCTTGACGTCCTCCTCGATGGCCCTGACGTATCTCACATCTCCAGAAAACTCCATGTCCCCCCTGTCCCCAATAACCTCAACGTCCCTCACGTCCCCCTTGATGTCCACCCCCCTCGTGTCCCCATCCCGTGTCACAGCCACCGTCCATCCCCGCAGGCCACCGAAGGTCCCGACTATGAGAACGTCGCGCCCGGTCCCAGCAACAGAGAAAGAGCCAGGGATGGGGACAGGGACGGGGACAGGGACGGGGACAGGGAGGGGACACTGGTCTACGCCGCTCTGGCCCTGTCCTCCCTGGGGACAGCGCGGGAACACGCCGGGGATGCTGGGGACACTGTTGAGTACACGGCCCTGCGGCACTGAGACCTTGGGGACACCGAGATATGGGGAAAAGGCCACCACGGGGACACCACAAAACGTCCCAAGGGACACGAGAACTTGGCCACCACGGGGACACGAGAACATGGCCACCACGGGGTTCACAGGCAAACGGTGACATTGAGGACATGGGGACATTGAAGACATGGTGACGTTATGGACATGGGGGCACTGAGGACATGGTGGTGGCCATGTCAGGGTGCCGGCCCCCATCGGGGACATGCCACAAGCGTGGCCACCGCCATGGCCACCACCAACCACCATGGGGGGACATGGCACCCCAGGGGACATGTCACAACCACGACCACCCTCCCCACGGGGACACGCCGCCACCATGGCCACCTCCACCCTGGGGACACCAGGGACATGGCCACCACCACCACAGTGGACTTGCCAGGACACGGATGGTCACATGCCACCACCCCCAATAAAATGATCTGGCTTAATTAATTGGTCTGGGTCCCTTGGGGGGAGGGGGTGGCACCCGGACACCTGGGTCCTCTCCTGTCGCGAGCGGTGGTTGGTTGGTTGGATGGGGGGGAGGGTCAGGGCGGAAGGGGGAGGAGTGGCGGCCCGGACGCCTGGGTC